GCTCTATACTGGTTTATACTGGTTTGAACTGGTTTTTACTGGTTTTTACTGGTCTCACCTGAGGTCCTTGATGGAGAGGGTCCCCCGGAAGTCCCTGAGGATCTCCAGCAGCACCCAGGACCAGTAGCTGCGGTAGCTGAGCTTGCCCAGGTCCGAGAGCGGCTTCTCCGGGGAGCCCACGGTGCTCTCCAGCTTGGACAGCTCGTAGCCTGGGAATTCCCAAAGAATTCCCAAAGAATTCCCAAAGAATTCCCAAAAAACTCCCAAAAAACTCCCAAAGAATTCCCAAAAAACTCCCAAAGAATTCCCAAAAAACTCCCAAAAAATTCCCAAAGAATTCCCAAAGAATTCCCAAAGAATTCCAAAAGAATTCCCAAAAAACTCCCAAAGAATTCCCAAAAAACTCCCAAAGAATTCCCAAAAAACTCCCAAAGAATTCCCAAAGAATTCCCAAAAAACTCCCAAAAAACTCCCAAAGAATTCCCAAAAAACTCCCAAAGAATTCCCAAAAAACTCCCAAAAAACTCCCAGAATTTCCCCAAAAATCCCAGGGGCTCGGGGGGGGCTGGGAATTCCCACGGAAATTTCTGGAATTGGGGAGGGAAGAGCCCGGATTTCCAGGCAGGGAGCGGAAATGGTGAAATCTGTCACGGGATTCGTCCCAAATTCATCCCAAATTCATCCCAAATTTATCCCAAATTCATCCCAAATTTCTCCCAAATTTATCCCAAATTTATCCCAAATTTATCCCAAATTTATCCCAAATTCATCCCAAATTCATCCCAAATTTATCCCAAATTTATCCCAAATTCATCCCAAATTCATCCCAAATTCCTCCCAAATTTATCCCAAATTTATCCCGAATTCATCCCAAATTTATCCCAAATTTATCCCAAATTTATCCCAAATTTATCCCAAATTTGTCCCAAATTTCTCCCAAATTTCTCCCAAAATTCAGCCCAAAATTCCCCCCCAAATCCCTTCAAAAAAAATCCCCAAAATTCCGGAGATCCCAAAAATTCCAGGAATCTCCACCAGAAATTCCCGGTTTTTTCCCCCAAATTCCTCCCCATTTTTTCCCCTCATTTTTTCCTCCAATTTTCTCTATTTTTTCCCCATTTTTCCCCATTTTTCACTATTTTTCCTCCATTTTTTCCCCTCATATTTTCCCCCAATTTTTCCCCTTTTTTTCCCCATTTTCCCCCCCATTTTCCCAATTTTTCCCCAATTTTTTCTCCCAATTTTCCCCATTTTCCTCCCATTTTTCCCCCCAATTTTCCCCCATTTTTTCCCCATTTTTTCCCATTTCCCCCCATTTTTTCCCCAATTTTCCCCCAATTTTTTATCCCAATTTCCCAATTTTTTCCCCAATTTTTCCCCATTTTTCCCCGCATTTTTCCCCCAATTTTTCCCCAGTTTTTCCCCCATTTTTTTCTCCCAATTTCCCAATTTTTTCCCAATTTTTTCCCAATT